AAAAAAAAGAATCGTTAAAACATACCCTTAAAAGTAAATGACACGAATGCTGATGTCTTACATAAATAACATTTACACTTAATAGTTAATCTTTCTTCTTTGGCTTTTTGGGATTACGTGATCGAGATTTTGCTTTACAAAGGGGACAAATTGGAGCATTTCTATGAATTTGTTGATGACACGATAAACACGATTTCATGGGCGGTGGTTGTTGCCTAAAAACAGAGGAGAAAAATATAGAAGAAGTATGTCAATTCACATTCATGTATTTTCTTTATGTATCGTTGTTCTTATCAAAAGAACTGTTGTAACTAATATCATGATTCGTGTATTGTTGTATAGTAGGATTAGTATTTTCATGCGTGTTAGATAAAAATATAATACAAAATTGAGATATACCAGTGGTACCTGAATGTTGGAGTGGCTGGACCTGGTGCTGGGGGTAATGGTCTTGGTTCTGGTTTACTTGGACCTTGAAGGGGTTGAGGGGCAAGGAAAGGTGTGGAACCACCTGGATGACCAGGATGGTGTAAAGTGAGAGGGGGTAATAAATCTTCACCCCGAACTTCTACCCTCCATTCTGCCTTTTGCATAGGACGGTCAAAGTAGCTGCGAACAAACCATCTACACGATAAATGTCTCACTTTAAACAATATAATTCTTATATTTTTTATACAACTAATTCCTGTATGCTACTATACGATTTTGATAAAGACAACAGCTTTTAAGTGACATTTAGGAAACCGATATACTTACTCTGGTGAAATGAGATCTGATTCTGTTTCATAGAGCTCTGGTAACCTTTCTAGGCCCAAGAATTCTCTGCGCATACGATCGATATCATGCTTCAAGGGTTGATAATCATTATTGTGAATCAGCTTAGCAGTTTCCCTAGCTTTGTTTCTGGCTTCCTCTGCCTGTTTAATAACAGCTTCCATCTGAAACATTTATGTATTCAATTATACCTTTGAGTCTTTTTGAACACATCGGTATAACAACATGTAATCATACCGCATTAATATCTGCATGTATTTGCCGCAATTCCTCTACATGTGCCATTTTCTCTTGCATAAGAAGATCCATTTCCTGTTTGTATTCCAGCAAACATTTTTCTTCTTGCTCAGTCAGTTCCACTTCTTGTAGGATCCTTTGTTTCATTTTCTCCAACTGAAGAGTTTTTGATCTAAAGAAATACATATTAAGGACACTTATTAGATATCTTTTCCTTAATGGCAAGTTGATGAAACATCTATTTTATGATGCATCCATATATATTTTTTCCTGTACATGCTATGTAGATATAAGGCATTAGGTTTTATAAAATTTTTATAATTCTTCAGTGATACCTGTGAATTATAAATCATTAATGAAATTTATAACAATGACATAAATAGGGTGCCATAAGATTACTATGAGTGGTAAAGTTTATCGTGTATGATATCATTAGTAAGATAAAAACATGTTTTATAACATTCCCTGTCATGAATAGAAGTTACTTAAAATACAAAGTATAAGAACAGTATACATTGTTTTCACTGAGATTTGTAATTTTATTGAATTGTGAGAAGGTTAACTTTTAAAGATTTTTTAAGATTAAGGAGGAGGCAATTACTTGATGTCCTTTAATGCTTCCAGTTTCGCGAAAATCACCGTAGTTTCTGTGGCAGACATTCTGGTAATATTTTCCGACACTTCTGTTTAGGGAAGCCCCGTCAAACGGAAGGCAACTTGTTTATGAAATAAATGCAATACAATTCGGCGGTGGTATTCCTTTCTTCAAGGCATCGCGGCTCGAATATTTTTAATGAGTTCAAGAAGCAACACTATACGGTCATTATTGTCATTGAGAACCGAACGAAATTGTCGCGCTCGTAATTATATTTCCAAAAAGTAATCAACACCGTTGACGTACAACACAATGAACCATTATTCATGCCATGAGTCACGAGAGACGTTTGCTTGTAGATAAGAAACGTTGATCTCTCGTCCATCCGACGAATGCACACGCCTCGCAGCGGTTTATTGGCAAATTAAAATGATAAGAGCGGTTTAATTTGAAACAAACAGTTACTATGAACAACAATGTGATCATTCTTTAAATAGTTTTCGCTAAAAAAATAATATAATAAAAATAAAGTAATTTCAATAAATGCCTTTCTACGAAGTACAATTTCAAATACAAAGAATACATTACAATAGAAATGTTCGAATGAATACGTAATTAAATTATTATCACAAACGTATTAATAAACAGAAACATAATATTAGCTCGTTCTCTTAATAGTCACGATGAAGATATCACGATACGTACTTCAATACCTCTTACATAGATTTAATTGGCCATTTTGGACCCATCCTGTGTCCATAAATTTTTCCTCATAGAAAAAGCCTAGTTAGCTCAAGATAATTTCCTCCATATAACAATGAAACGTCAAACAGAATTATCAACGAACGCGCCAGTGTCTGATACACATCATGTATCTACACATTAATCAGAAACATTTTCCTATCCGTATCTAACGCGTTATTAAATCTATCCCCAGTCGTGAAATAGTTTCAACATCATCGTATTTATCACGAGTTATCAGACGCGACGATTATCAGACTAAGAAAATCCCTATCGGACCTACGATCAGGCTGCCCATAGGCTACTCGCGGAAATGTATCACCAAAAGATGTTTCTTCGTAATTCGTTAGGATCACGATCTACTTTGGCTGTCGGGCTGCCTGGTTCGCGAGTGCGATTTGCGGTGTGGGAAGAGATTAATTAATCAACGTGTTCATCAATGATCGGGGTTGGGCTCGGTCGAATATCCGCTCGATACTGGGATCGCGCGTATAAAATCGGTGGTTGTTATCTGTGCCGATTTTCAGAAGAGATGGAAGAAATAGAAAAAGAGAGAGGGATATGAGGATCAATAGGTTTCAGAGGAATCGGAAGAAATAAAAAGAGAGAGAGAGAGAGAGTAACACGTTGACTGCCACGAAAAACTTCAGCGTTTTATCAATTATCTGGCTACACTGTGATCCAGTTATTTGCGTTACTAAACACTTTCATTCGACGCCAGTTGCCTTACGAATTATAATTCTTTTCGAGTAATTTGGAAGCTCCGGTCATCGGTGACCACCGTGGCAGTCGTGTTAACCGATTTCAAGGAAAGCTAGTTTCAAGAAACAGAAAGAGGGAGAGACATACAGAGATCCGCAATTTTCAGAGAAATCGGAAGAAACAGAAAGAGAGGGAGAGGAAGACAAAGATCAACCGGTGGTTCAGTATCGCCGGAAGAGGATGAAGATCGAGCTACAAGGGAGATTCGTCGATAGGCAAACGGAATGGAATCGACGATCATCGTCGTTGTCACGCCGCTGCAGTGGCGGTGGTAGTGGAGGCGGGCCAGTTGTATCTGCCGAACTTTTCTGATAATCCAGATAAGGTGGAGGAGCCGATGAAAAGCCGCGGAGACGTCGCGTTGGCCGACGATGGCCTCGTCTCTCCCCTGGCTTTTCGTCGTTCGCCGCCCGGTTGCACATCAGTCCTCCTCCTACTTAGCACGGGAGCAGAAACTTGTGCAGTTCGTGTGACTAAGCACCGACAAACTTTCGAGTGTCTCTGAAGCTCTCTGCGGGGCTGTGAATATAGGACAAAGGAGAGTGGCCCGGAGCGGAGACGAGTCGTTGCCTTTCGTCTTCGTCACCGGCTTCGACGGCATCCACGGAGGGGAATATTTTTCCGCTTTAACGGATCCCGTCAGCCTCGCACACAGAATGCGTTAAAGAGAGCGAGAGTCTCTGCACTGGGGCGTCATGGAGTCCAGAATGGGCTCTCGAATGTAAGTAATTCGTAAACAAGCAATTTTTCGTCGAGGTTCAACTTAAGTTGATTCTGACACGCGCCGGTCTTGATTATTGCGCGAGATCTCGCGGGCATTGCCCTTTAACCCTTTGTACTCGAAAGTTTTTCAGAAATATTTGACGTTCACTGATGAGATACAGACGATGCTCTTTGGAACTAATGAGAAGACATACGTGAATTAAGAAGCGAAGCTATTTTATTTCGATGTTTCATATATCGATGCGTATAAAGTTTAATATTATATACAAGACTTTATAACTTTGCTGTGCCGAATCTATAGTCATCTCTCGAATGCGGAGGGTTAAATTGCGCGAATTCCGATTCTGACTCGCTTTGGACCTTTCCCTGTTCGAACGCTTTGAACGGCAGCGAACATGTTCGCCGCTGTGAAACGAAACGACGCGTTTTCGAGAGATCCGCGATAATATCGGATTCGACGCTGTTCAGACGCTGTATCTCTCGAATTCGACAACAGACGCGTGTTTTGCCACGGGATTCCTAAAGTTTACCCTTCTCACGCTCGACGCGCGTGGAGCGGTGATGCGCGCGAGATGATCGCGCGCCTTTATCACGCTCAGATCGTCAGATTATTCTTCGAGTAATCGATCGATCTGTTGCTCTTTATCGATCAATTTTTCTTCGTATGCAAATCACCGGATAATCGCGTTTCTTCTTTCCGAAAAGTCGAATCGAAACGGAGCGCGACCCCCTTGTTTTCCTCCGTGGAAAATGTCAGACTGTTGGCTGGTTCTAGAACAGCCGCACAATGACAATTAGTTAATTAGAAAGCTACTCGTTAACTAGAAACCCATCGCAATCCGTTTAATTCACTTCCAGACGAAGTCATTAGACATAATGCTGCTCGTTATCTTCCCTGATTGCAGCTGACGTGTAAAGTTTCAAAAGAAACGTGCAACACGCGCTCTCGATTCGATCTCTCCTCCACAAACTCATTTCCCGGATCGTCGACCTGCGTCTATCGTGAATTGTTTGATCGCCGTCTGCTCGTTCGAACGAGTTCATCGATCGTTTTCCTCGTTAAATCGTCCAAAACCGGATAACGCGGCCCTTGTGCTCCGTCCGTGCGATGATCGACGCGAATAACATATCAGTCGTAGATAGATCTCGTTTCGACCACGTACTTCTTTTTATCTCTTTCATAAAAACACATATACTCGCGTATGTATATTCGTGTGCGTGTACGTACGCGTTTAAGCGGCTACGCGACGCTAATAAACCGTTACCTGGACGACCGCGGACAAAAAGGGTATTATGCGCGCCGCGGTCGATGTCTTTATCCGCCGATTCGCTCGATCGTTGTGATTAACGATCCCGGCTTTTTCACCGGCGATCACGATACGATAAATTAGCAATTACGACGCGCGTCGGCGAGACGAGCGAATGCACAAGGCAAGAAAAATAATTTGGCGAGGCCGCATCGCGTACGTCACTGAATCCCGACGAATCGATTGTCGCAGGACAGTTTCCTATTCGCACATGTCCAGGGAGACACGGAGGGCTTATTAAAATCACACGAGTCTCTTATCAGCAAGTTATGACACTTACACAATGTGTCAATTTACTTGATCTAAATTACGACAGCGACATCGAATACAATTTTCTTCTGTTCCCTTTATTTAATACAGTTTCCATAAAACTTACTTTATTCTTTCGTGAAGCTGAATATGTACTTCGAACACTCGTACTAGCTTCTCTTTTCAATATTTTCCTTTCCATTGTACTCGACAGACATTCGCGTGAAACGAGTCCACGATACTCCGCGCAAACGGAGGAACGGGAGTATTTATTTTGTTTATCTGTAACGACCGGAGCCGGAAGAGTATTTCGAATAACCGGCTTCGGAACTTTTAACGATCCCCTAATATTTCATCCGCCCACCCCCTCCCACCTTTCTGCCTCTCTCTTTCTCGTTTATTTACTTTCCGGCAAGTCGCGAATAGCATCAGAAACTCGTTCCCATTAGCAGTTTACGTGTCGTTTCCGGTGTCGTGGCCGCTTAACATGACGGTAAACAATAAATGTCGCTCTTAACGATACATTTTACTGGCCAGACGTTCAACGTCGCCGAACGTTAAACACCGATTACGGCCGGGGCTATCGGGGAATCCCGGGGTTCGCCGGAGTTTGGATAGCGCAAAATGTCAGCCGCAAGTGTGACGGGAATAAGAGAGGAACGACGGCGCGGGTGGTTGTCACACTGAAGCACAGATGCGGAGCAAATATCGGGAAGGTCGAGTGGGTCTTCGTCGAGCTGCTGGAATTAATTCGTGACGCTACATAGTTCATTTGAACGAAGCACTTTTCATCTTGAGAACGTTCCTTTTTTTCATTTAAATGTGACGCTGGTTTTCAGTTATTTGGGTCTATCGCTTGAACGACTACTTGAATTGTTATTTGGCAATTATAGTCACGAATGTCTCGATGTTTGAATAAGAATAAACTTAGCTAAGGTTCCCACGCACTCGACAGTAAAAATCATAATCGCGATTAACTCTGAACGTCTCACCTTATCTGCACTTCACTTAGCAGATAGCGTAAACGATAATAGAGCAATTTCTTAATAGGTTTCGCTTCGGGGAAGAGTTTTGTAATTACCATGCGGCTTAGTTCTTCGAGGACGAAGGCCGCCATATTCGATTTTCGTATCTGGAATCTAGTCGTGAAACTGGGGAGGAATTTCAGTGTTGGAATATTAATAGTGTATAGTTCTCTACTTTTCTAGTATTCGAGTGATGTTGAAGTCGACAGAATTTTCGTAAAAATCTAAAGCACCTATATCATTAACGTTTTCAAAGGATTGATGCCTTCAACGGGGTGGATCTCGGCAAGTTCCGTTTCGAAACGAATTTACGATCCTTTTTCTTTTGGAAGCCACTGTGCCTTTCACCCTCGGCATTCGAATAATTCCGTTGCATTGCGCGCGAACCGGACACGCTCTGCAACGATTTCGAGCACGTCGTACTTTCCGTGCCAATCATCGATCATCGCGTTCCCGATGATCCACCGGGGAAACCCGATCCGGTTGCATCAATTGCCGTGATTACGAGAACGCCCGTCCCGGCTGGTCCCGGTAAACGGGCGTTTGTGTTCCGCAAACAATTCGAAGG